CATTCTATTTTCCATTACCCCCATACAACCTCGATATAACCCCAACATATCCCCAATATGACCTATCCCCAATGTATCCCCAATATAACCCCAATATAACCTCAATATATCCTCAATATATCCCCAATATGTCCCCAATATATCCCCGAATATAACCCGAATATAAAAAACCGTGGGAGCTGAGGCCGGCACCGCCTGAATGTGATGCCGGCCTGAGGGAGTTCCACCTAATCCTTCAGGAGATTATTGGGTAACCCCAACATATCCCCTATATAACCCCTACTATTATTAGTACTATGATTACTCTAATTGGTGTTATTACAATTGTAATGACTATTTTTACTATTATTACTATTATTACCCCAAATGGCCCGGATGATTTGAGTGTTTCGTTGAGTTTGGGAGCGTTGTTCCTCAGAGTTCTACACGTCCCCTGCTAGCAACCAGTCTCTGTCAACGCCACCTTCCGGAACACCACGCCAGACGTATGGCTCGGCTGGGACCTGCCCAGAAGAAGACTGCTCAAGAGGTTGGAACTCTTTTTTCCATGGTTCTTGCTATGACTCTGCGATCACAGAACGCGTCAGGGCTTTAAAAGAGAAAAACCATATCTTTGTGGCGTACGAAGGCTGCTGGCATCCAATCACGCGCATTCGGTCCATTGAAGCCCTTGATTACCCTCCAAACTCGCCACACAATAAAACTCACACAACGCTCCACAAAAGTAATCATCAGCTGGAAGCCTGTCATGAAGTTCGTCATGGTTTGCCACAATCCGTCGCACAACTCGCACACTCCACACGCAGGAAGTTTGACTGCGGGTTACCTCACGGTCATGAATATGTCTATAACGGCAGCTCGACACTGCACTGTTCGCCCCAAAAGACGAGACAAACCTCATTACGAACCCAAAGCCTAGAGCTGAAACCCCAAACAAAAAGGAACATCGATCCACAACCCTCAACTGTGCAACCTACATCCCACAGGCAAAGTCTTTCGAACTCGCGCAGGCGTGCCCACCTTCTCGAAGCAGTTCATGGGTGAGGCCGTTCCACCCTGGCTGCAAGAAGCACGGTTCATGCTCCTGTTTGCGATTATGACAGACACGAGTCTTCTTGAGAGTCGAGTAAGCTCGCACTGCAGAGGGTATAGTTCGGTTGATATCGACGTTACTTTGGTTTCAAGCCAGCATCTTAATCTAGGAAAATCCAGATAGGTTTGCCACTTAAACTCTACAGACAATTTTAAAGACTACGGGTGAAGGATGCATCATACGGAGATGAAGTAAAACCTACCTGAAACCCTGATCGAGCTACGACAGCAACCTGTGTTAGAATAGAAATATACTTGTTTTTTAGACGAAGGACACCAACCGTTTGATGAGAAGTTTAATGCCCTGCAATATGATTTGTTGGCGTCTTCATTGTGTGTAGCTCCCATATACTGCTGTCAACATTTGGTAGCTTTCATGGAGAAACCTCAAACGGCACCACTTCTGGAAACCCTGATCCCAAGAAACCCCTGTAGAATCCCAGCATATACCAGCTTCCATGTTCTTTTCCATTTGATTCTACATGATTGGAAGCTAATATCCAATACAATCCCCAAAAAAAGAACGCCTTATATCCCTAAACCCTACAACCTATAACCTAAACCCACAGCTCCCCATGTGTAAACCTTGTGTATGCTTACTTCAAGGTCTATCACTTAGCAAAACTCAGCAGCAGTAGCAATCCAACCTCCAGCCAGAAGGCTAGACCTCCCTCGAGGTTGCCTCGGAGTAGCCAATGGCTTAGAGGGTCTAGAGCTTAGAGCCATGTAGGGATAATACATAGGCATAATGGGAGGTTATAGACCTATAGAGGGGGCAATGAAAAGAATACTATCTGTATTCTAGATGGCTTGGAAATTCAGGTTTTTGAGCATTGACTTTTCAGGCTTGGGTTGGGGGGTTTTGAGGATTCGGGCTTCAGGGGTCTAGGCTTTAGCGTTTGGAAGCTACGGTCTAGGGATGGCGGGAAACATGAATGCAAACTACTTGCCAGAAGACATGAAGGTCTACAACATTCTTGATACCATTCATATTATCACTGTTATTAATGTTACTACTATTGATGTTACTCCTATTAGGATATTTTGTCTATTATTAATATTATTGCTGGAGGCAGTACCGGAACAACTTGGCTACCAGCAACTATAGAACAGGGCCAAAAAGCAGACCGGGAAATTCAGAAACATGAGGCATTTACCTCGCGGCCAGAACGAAATTATTGTGCCCTGAAAATGAACCTCCCAGCCCCCTAATAATGAATGATCCTTTTGAATCAACATACATCGTGGCGGAAACAACCGAATTTTCCAACAACTCTAAAAACTAAACCCTTCCATGTCTGGAAAAACCATGGGAGCACCACGCGGACCGGCACACTTTATTCCGCACGTTTTTTCAGAACTCGTGAAATTATCCTTCAGGACAACATCCATGCTTAGTTGTGGGTAATTCGCTTACGCAATTTGAGCACAAGCAAGGCTTCACAATTCCACAACGTGCTTCCTGTGGCTGCGCTGCACTTCGTGATATCTACATGTGAAGGATTTGGCTGAATATGTGCCGCAGACTAAAAGACAATTCGATACCCCGACTCCTCCTTGCTGATACAATTTGGTTCTTCGTTGCAGGAACGTAAAGGGAACTGATCCATCATTCTTAGAAATGCATCTCTTCCCCCCTCTTCTTTGCAGCCACATGGCTGTTGAATGTGACGAACACATTCGCAAGATCACCGTCGAGGGCCAGGAATTGGCCTGCACTTAAGTTATTTTTTTGTGAAATCCGTTTCCGTGCAGCATTTAAAGGCTGGGGGCTTTGCTCCCCCATTGGTTGTGGGGAACCTGCTTGTCTGCAACGGAAGGCTTAGCAAAGAAAACCAAAAATATCGTTGTTGCCCACCACTGTTCCGTTGGTCCGTTACTAACTACTGTTAGGACGATTTCCCTGCTAGCCACCGCAATAATTGATATTTCTGGCCCGTAACACCACCACTACATTTTTGCATCGCTGGCTAGTACCAATGCTCTTCTTCAAGCGAAACTGCAGTGATAGCAGATTGCGGACAGTAGGATGACCGCCGCACTTCGCAGCGAGACTGCAGTGATAGCAGATTGCGGACAGTAGGATGACCGCCGCACAAAAAGAAGCTGCCAAAGCGTGCCTGGTTTGGGTCCCAAGATCAATTTTGTTTCGTCTTGCTTGGCTGTGTCCGTCACCACGACCGCCATATGCCTGTGAAGGATGTAGCCAAATCACAATTTCGAATGCAACACGAGCTGTTACAGAATGAACATATTCATCAGGTCAGAACCAAAATAAACCATGCGACACTAACAAGTACAGCATGTTTGCAATATCTCTTGTTGGCAACAGCATCAGCTCCAGTGCCTTTGTCAAAAGCGGGCACAACACTGCATAAACGGCGGCGATCCAGTAAGTGGGATAGACTCACAATTTGAGCGTAGGATCTGCCAGGGACGCTGTTTTCATCACGAGTACCATTATCTCACTGGACGACTCGACTAGCGTGATTACAGTTATAAATGTCATCACTGAATCTTTTGGGCCAGAGCATCTGCAGAATTTTTGCGAAATCGTCTGGGATTTCTGATCAAGGTCCAATAGCCCCATTGTACGGAGGGATACGGGATACGGCAAGAAGATATATGAATCTACAGGTGTGTGACAAATTCTGCGAGAGCGGGGAGCTCATGCTCAGTTTAAACACACCTTTAAAAAAACTCGAGCATTCTTACCAGCGTGAACACACCGGGAAGGTTCCTACTTGCCTGACCACTCCATCCAATGCAGGCCGACTTCCTCTGGTAGCAAGTTGGACAGTTAGACCCACCCACTATGGAACTTGCTGGTTCTGTGTGGTTGCACTGCTCCTGTCCAAGACCTACCACATCACGCAGCACTGCACACACCTCACTTTTACTTGGGTTGTTTCTGAATGTAGCTTCAAGGGGTGCTTGAGGGCTGGAAGGCTTCAAGCCTCCGTCTCCTTCCGTTTCGCACACCCCCCCCTTTTGCAAGTGAGAAACCAGAGTATCTGGGCTGAACATAGGTGTCTAGGCTGAATGAAACATCTGTGAAGAACTAGACTCAGCGGGTCTAGGCTAGCCTGAGATGGTTCAGCTCGAAGGAATCCCCTTGGACAACTGTCCTGAGGGTTTGACCCAGGCAAGGGCTCAAATGCGGCCAGCGGGCCTTGTAGCAGGCGAGTTACTGCAGGAGGAAAGGTTTGGCTGGGGTTGAAGCGACAGCGAACGGGACTGCGATTCCCTAGGTTCCTGGCTAGGCAACGGCCAGCAAAGCTTTGTGAAACAAGGCTGATCTATGGCTAGGCTGAGAACAGTACCGTGTCTGTCTTCTCCACCTGGGCACAGGATTGTGGGCTCAGGCATTAAACAAAGAAGGGGTTAAGGGAGGGCGCTTCAAGATTTTCTGCTCAGTAGAAGGCGATCTACATAAATCTTGTAGTGAGCAAAATAGCATGAGATTCACAACACACACCAAAACACAAGAGAAAACAAAAACTGTTTGCGTTCTGTGTGGTTGCACTGCTCCTGCCCAAGACCTACCACATCACGTAGCACTGCGCACACCTCACTTTTACTTGGTTTGCTTCTGAGTGTAGCTTCAAGGAGGGCTTGAGGGCTGGAAGGCTTCAAGCCTCCGTCTCCTTCCTTTTCGCCCCCGCTTTAGTCACTCAGAGCAACCCTGTCCCTGCGGGAGGCGTGGCACTGCCCCGAGATCCCCCACCGCGTGAGGGTTGCGTTGTCGCACTATAAGGCCTAGGCTCGGGCTAGCGAAGTCCAGAGCTACAAAGTACCTAAGCAAGAAGTCTGTGTGGCAGGTCAGCGCGAGACCTTACGCGCTCCAGGCTGAAAGCAGGGCTTTGTCGCCTCCAGACACAAGCAGTGACGACTTGCAGCAAGGCTGTCTTTGCAAAAAGCGATCCCCTCCTTCTGGCTTGTGGAGGGTGAAGAGTCACCACTTCTGGCTGGCAGAGCTGCTGCAAGGTTACTCTGAAGCGGGCTGCTTGCTTGGGTCGGAAGCGGTCCAGCTTGTCTCGGCTGAGCTCATCCGCCCACACGTTCTTCTGTACAGAGGAGCTACTGAGTGGCGTGCGACCACGAGGCTACTAGTGTAAGGAACAGACACAGAGGGTAGGCGTGTTGACTCCCGCCTCTGTGGGCGTATTGTCTGAGCCGGCCGGCATGGCAAAGGAAAGGCCGCCCAGTCGTGCCAGAGTGATCTGCAGGAGGACTAGCTGCGCGAGGGTCTCAAACCAGGCTATGTAGCCAGGTGCCCTCTTCGGCCACGGCATCAGCTGCCGAGAGGCAGTGTAGGAGAAGGGCAAGGGGCTTAGCGGGTGGCCGGCAGAAACAGGAGTGGCGGTGAGCTTCCGACATTTGGGGAGCAGGGGGACGTCTGACTTGCGCCTAACTCACCTCAATGATCTCTGGCGGGCTACACAGATCTGAGTAGATCGGGGCTGTGTGTGATCTAAGGTGGTGGCTAGTGGAAATTGCCCAGCTGAGAAGGCCTAAGCAGAACTGAAGGGCCTTCTCGTCAACTTTCATCTTGCTGAGGAAGCTCTGTATCATGTCTGCTAGCTTGGCCAGCTTCTGCGGCTCCAGGCTTACCGTCTCTGAGCGGAAGTTGAACTTCCGGCTGAACATCTCCGAAGAAGGCTTTCTTCCAGGAAATTGGAGATCTGAGGTACACAAGGAGCACCACGAGAAGCGCTAAGCGCAAGTCTCCGTTGCCCGAAACGCAGACCATATAACCATAGAGTTTGTCGGCGAACTGCTTCGCGACGTTCACCTGTTTGTTGGCTGCTTTGAAGTCAAGGCTGGCCCCAATCCACATGCTGTGAGGTTCTGTGGGCTGGAAAGCTGAACAAACGTCTGAGACTGTAGGGAGCTGGACAGTTTCGGGAGGCTGCAGCTTGGATTTACCTGGCAGATTGCGCTGTCTAGAACGAGCTTGATGAGGGACTTGACCACTGCGCTTGCATGGTCCGCAAGCACCTCCATACTTGACAAAGCCCAGACCTCTGTGAAGGAACAACAAGCCCTCAGGTCTTTGGCCTTGGAAGGTCTGAAGGCAGCTCTGCCCCGCATAAGCCTCGACAAAACCTGCGCTAGCATCAGCCATCGGACATCCCTCACCGAAAGCTCAGCAAACCTCCAGCCACGCGCCTTCAGATGCCACGGCCAAACTTGGAGCAAGACGCGAGGCCTTGGAGTCGGCTGACCGGCTAGAAGGTAGGTGCGTAGTTCAGACCTCGAGCGATGTTCCCTCACACACACGCACATCACATTCGTGCCTCACGCAGTCAGGGAGTCCGCTAAAGCCAGGGACGCTCTGGCACGCCTCCCCCCTAAGCAAGCTCTTTCTGGATTTTTCGCAGGTTTCCACGCACCAGTGACACACGCAGTAGCTGCCTAGCTCTGGACCATTTCCAGCCTGCGACATCCTTCACGATCCCACACACGAGCTCCGCCCCCACGCAGAGAACACAGCCGACAAGTTGATCCCAGGAGGCCCGCCGGACGCCTGAATACCTAGATTAGATGGCATTCCGGATCTGAGCCCGCAAGATCAGCTCAAGGTCGATCAGAGCAAAGCCACACACGAACGAGGCAAGTCGGGGGTGGGTCCTCTCCTGACCTTCAGACGCGCCAAGCCAAGGTGGAAAGGGGCTTGAC